GGTTGTTCTCGTCAAGAGAGAAGACTCTGGCAAGTGGAATTTCTGGACCACAGGCACAAGGAATTAGGCTTGACTGTATTGAGAGCAAGAATTTTGTCTAGTTCATGGCTGTTGCCCCAGGACCTACAAAAGGTGCATCATACTAGTAAATATTTAGTGATTGAGGATGAGGCTAAATTACAAATCCTACCTGTGTAGGTATTAAGGGGATCTAATCAACTCCTTTGGTTTAGTTGAGCAACCCAGTAAACAGGGTATTGTCCAGCCTTGCAAAACACCAGAAGCTGCCATGGAACTCAGAAGGGGTAATATCAAGACACAGGCATTGGTGCTTGGTTGTTAGGATGGCTCCCATCCTGCTTCTCGGTTGAGGGCCTGCAACATGGGTCGAATGAAGGACTGAGAAGGTTTTCGCTGCCTCAGCTTTTCCCTGACCTCACGGATGAAGGTTCCACAGATGTTGTTTCCTTTGGAAGATCTCTTGCCAAGAACAGCATTCCTTTGGGGGAGGGGGGTTCGAGTTGGACTGTAGATGGAATGTTGCTTTTTTTTTTTTTTTTAAATGTATCTCTAGAAAGACAGCTGCTCGGGCCGGAAAGGCTCTTGGGGGTTCACCGGCTCACTGGGAGAGCACTGGCCTCCGGATGCATGCTGCTCCCATGACTGTGGCCTCTCTGAAGTTTCTTGTTAGTGGGAAGCCAGAAATGTTGGGCGCATTCTTCAGATGGGATCAACCTAGCTCTCAATTTTTTGTTAATTTCCAAATTCTATTCCTTTCCAAAATAGAAATGACGGGTGCTTGCATGAATCATCCTACTTGCTCATTTACATATGGAATATTGTATGTGAATATTTTAAGTTGTTGTAACCTTAAAATATAATCAAGGACTATATCCAGAGCTCAAAAGAACCATCTCTGCTGCTGAAATCAAGGGAGGGGGACAGAGGCTTACCCTGGGCTACATGGTGTGTGTGTGTGGGGGGAGTTGGCGTGGCTCAGTGAACACCTCCATGTTAGTGGCTAACTATTTACATCTGGGGATCTGACAGCCCAGGGTGTGGGGCTTGTGTGAAGTTGGAATGACACAGCAGTGAGAAGAATCCCCTTCAGTCTGGACCAGCCCAACCAAGAATTGTTTCTATGGAAGCTTTGAAAGCCAACATCAGGCCTTTGCCAGCGTGGCTCGATGGTTGAGCATTGACCCTGAACCAGGAGGTTGCGGTTAGATTCTCAGTCAGGGTACATGCCCGGGTTGTGGGCTTGATCCCCAGTAGAGGGTGTGCAAGAGGCAGCCAATCAATGATTCTCTTTAATGTTTCTATCTCTCCCTCTCCCTCCCTGAAGTAAATAAAAATATATACTTTTAAAAAAAGAAAGCCAACGTCAGGAGATACACCTAACCCTCTAGAACAGCGGTTCTCAACCTGTGGGTCGCGACCCCTTTGGGGGTCAAACGACCCTTTCACAGGGGTCGCCTAAGACCATCGGAAAACACATATATAATTACATATTGTTTTTGTGATTAATCACTATGCTTTATGTTCAGTTTGTAACAATGAAAATACATTCTGCATATCAGATATTTACATTACGATTCATAACAGTAGCAAAATGACAGTTATGAAGTAGCAACAAAAATAATTTTATGGTTGGGGTCACCACAACATGAGGAACTGTATTAAAGGGTCGCGGCATTAGGAAGGTTGAGAACCGCTGTTCTAGAAGATGCTGCTGAATTCATTTATTCCGGCAGGATGGACTGAGCACCTACGATGTGCCACCTCCTCACAAGTCTGCTCTGCACCCGGAAGCTGGAGGAGAGTTGTTTATAACCTTGCCGTTTCTGTCCATCTGAGGCTGACAGTGAGGTGATTCTACCAGAGAAATTGGCATCAAATTCAGAAGAGCCTCAGGCTCATGTCTGGTCTCCTCAGGTAAACCAGGCACAATCTTGGGACTTCCAGGGAAAATCAGAAGGTCCTAAATCAAAATAAAGTGGAGGGGAGGTAGCCAAAGGTTTTAGGTCAGGAGACTGCAGGAACCCATTCAGGGGTTTTAAACCCCAGCTGGGCATTAGGGTCATCTGAATTGGTCAGATTCCTGCATTCTGCCCCAGATTACTCAATCTGCTGGTCGTCCGTGTTATTTCACAATCTGCTGATAATGGTCAGATCTGGAAATCACTAGGTATGGTAGGGATTGAGGGAACATTGCTTCTTATTCAAAATGAAGCCCCCGAAAATCCAGTTTGGAATTTCCAGTTTGAGGACAAAAGGCTGGAACTAGCTAAAGGCCCCTGTCCCTCACCCCACCCCCAGCCACACCCAAGTTCAGCAGCTCTCTTAGTACCCAGTCCGGTTGGGTTGAAATCCTAGGGGCAAACCCATCTCAGTTCCCCACTACTAATTCTTCCTTCTAGAACCTGATCATCAAAACATTTAAAAAAATATATATATATTTTTATTGATTTCAGACAGGAAGGGAGAGGGAGAGAGAGGTTGAAACATCAATGATGAGAGAGAATCATTGATCGGCTGCTTCCTGCACACCCCCTACTGGGGATGAGCCTGCAACCTGGACATATGCCTTTGACCAGAATTGAACCTGGGACCCTTCAGTCCGCAGGCTAACTCTCTATCCACTGAGCCAAACCAGCTAGGGCAAAACATTTTTATTTTTCATTTTGAAAGTATGTTTATTAAAGTTGGGGACAATGAAGCAAAGGAAGGGCTTAGGATAGAAGAAGCAGCAGGAGAGCCGAGGCGGTTGTCTGCTTTGGCTCCCTGGAAATGCTCTGGGAAAGTGAGCCAAGCGGGGCTGCTGTCAGCTCACTGAACCTGGTCATGGAATTTTCAATGCACAAGCCCACCCAGCAGAGCGTGCTGTGCTCCCTTCTTTGATTGCAAACCAGATCTCAGGGAATGAGAGTTGCCTTTGACTAGGTCATCTGGGCCAAGTCCACAAGTTAATTTGGGTCCCGAATAAGTGTGGTGTATAAGCTAGTGACAATAATCAAGAGAAGTATTAACATTTACTACGGTTTATTAGAGCCTAATGCTGTTAACAGGCACGCAGGGGAATCTCTTGCCTTTAAGAAGCTGATGCTGCACCTGGAGAAAGGCCAAGCAGGAACAAGATCCCGTCTGCCAAATGTCAAGTAGGAGTGAAGGCCAGGGAAAGAGCACTGGATAGAGTCAGATGGCCTGGGCTCACCAATCTCTAAGCAAGGACTCAGTTTCCTGTCTGTAAAATGGGAAGAATAAGACATGGTCCAAGGTCGTGGTAACAGGAAGCGTGGCCACTGAACGTGGGTGCAGAAGCCTGGGGAGACGCGGAGCCACCTCCATCTTGAACTGCAGTCCTAGATGCAGTGCTTTAAAAGAAATGGGCATCATGTCAAGCCAAGAGGCCCCAGAGAAGGCGCAGGGGAGTTTGTTGAGGCTTCTTTGAGGCCCAGTGAGATCCTATGACTGTTCCCCCATCAACTTTCCCTCCTCGTGCCCTCCCACGGGCTGCCCGGACTGGTATGAAGCAACTTGGCAGAGCTCAGCAGCAAGGCCTTGCAGAGGGTGTGGCCAGTATGGCCACTGCCTTGGGGACGGGGGTGGGGAATTAGCCCAGTGCATTCCTGTGTGGGCATTATCGTCCTGCCGGAAGTTCAGGGCCAAACCAGGAATCCAGCTTAGTCAATCCAATTGAGAAACCATTTCTTGAACAACTACTTGTGCCAGGCATTGGCACTCAGAGTAAAATATGCTAATGTCCTCTAGTTCAGCATTTCCCGGACTAGGTGCTGTGGAATCCTAGATGTTAATCAGGGGCCCTTAAAGGGCTCTGCTCGCACTCAGGGAAACACTGCAAACTGCCTTGTCGGATAGTTTGATGCTTTGAACACAGCCCTTCCCCTGCCCCCACATGGAATGTCCACTAATGGGGGAGCTAAAGGATCCCTTGGGGGTATGGCCCTTCCATAATTCCAAATACAACTCCTTTTTCACAAAAACTGATTTTTAGAGAGAGGGGAAGGGAGAGGGAGAGAGAGACATCGGTATGAGCCTGCACCCTTTAGGTGCACATTCCCAGGCATGTGCCCTGGCCGGGAATTGAACCAGCAACCTTTGGGTGCACAGGACAATACCCAACCAACCAAGCCATACCAGCCAGGGCCAAATATAGTCTTGAGGAAGTCAGAGAGCTTGCTATGGAAATTAGGAGAGGATGGAGCTGCCTCTTCGGTGCCCACAGAATTCTCCTGGGCAGAGCCATTCTCAGCCCTCGCTCTGACCCAGGCAAAGTGAGAGTGCCCTTGTCCTGGGAGGTGTCCTGAGCAAAGGCCCGGTCTTCTGAAGGACCACATGCACCAGGAAAGGCTCTGAGTCATGTGGGCTGTGTGATCTTGGGTTCGATATGTGATCTCTCTGGGCTCATGTCTCCGTATAGACTGGGTCATTGATTGGTCCTCAAACACTGATATCTATCAAAGGTCTTTTCTCTGTCTAATATTCGTTCCCCTACATCAGGGGTGGGCAACCTTTTTTCTGCCAAGGGCCATTTGGATATTTATAACATCATTCGAGGGCCATACAAAATGATCAAGTTTAAAATTAGCCTGCTATATTTGGGTAAACTTTTCATGAGCTCACCCCCAATGCCTGGGCAGGGCCAGACCAAATGATTTCGTGGGCCTTATAGAGCCCACAGGCCCGCCGTTCCCCACCCCTGCCTTCCATGCACTCCGGTTACTACCACATCACCCAGTTTTATTAAGTTTTGCAAGAAGATTTTTTTGGTTAAAGTGATTGTGTTCTGGAGAGGAGCTGGGGTGGCCCCTTAAAACGACCCAAATGGGGACTCCCACCATTTATCTTAACAGATGCCTTCGGTCAGAATAAGTCCCAATCGATTCTGTGGGGTTGTGGCCCCCTCCTACTCCACATTCTAAGGCAGGCTGGGGACACGTGGTCTGCCCCACCCTTGTTGGCTTCAGTTTCTGAATCGTGTTGTACTGGCCTCCTTTCTGGCCCTTCCCATCAGCCGGGAAGCCTGGATCGTGGGCTGGGGGAAGCCGTAGCTGCTCCCACCTGGCTCCCACTGCCCCTGGCCGCTAGGCACCTGCTCTGGGCCCTGGATCCTTTAAAACCGACAGCAAAACCCTAGAAGATTGCATCCCGGTGTGTGAACAGGTAAGCAGGCAGTCGATTTTCTCTCACATGGTTTTCTTTGCCAGATTTCTCCACCCTGATTTAGCTGCTTCCTTCACAGATTACAGCAAGAGGGATCTGAGCTAGACTTGAAAGACAGTCCCAGCCAAGAAGCTCTGAGCTATGTGTTGTAGAGAAATGGTGTGGCTTTTCTGCTCCGGGTTTCTTCATTTTTGAACCTTTGCTTTCTTCAGCCTTGCAGGGGAAAACAAAACCAAAAAAATAGATCCGAATCACCATAAAGCAAGTTACTTCTCTCCATGTTCCCTTCTGAGGTTAGTAAATTGACAAACGCACATTCTTAAAAGATTGTCATGGGTTACTGGGTGCTGCTTCTTTGCATATTACTTTAGGTTTTTAGACCTTAATGTATTATGTGCCTGAATTTTTACCATGTGCAAGAATTACCTCATCAAAAACGAATTGATTTTAAATTCTTTAAAGGAAAGGAAAAACATAAAATGGCATAGTCTTTCTCATTCAAATGCTATTCTGAAATTAAAATGTTCTGCTTTTACAGTTTTCATTTATTTAATTATTTTTTAAATAAAACTGATGCAGTCACTAAACCATTTATAATCTAATACACTTTTAAAAAAAATATTTTAAATTGATTTTTAAAGAGAGAGGAAGGGAGAGGGAAAGAGAGAATCATCGATGTTTGAGAGAAACATTGATTGGCTGCCTACTGCACGCCCCCCACCAGGGATCGAGACTGCAACCTTTTGGTGCATGGGACGATGCCCAGCCAACTGAGCCATAGCTTGGCTGCATTTATTTTATTTTTATTTATTTTTATTTTTTCTCTTTCGTTTTTTAATTTCTTTTTTATTGATTAAGTTATTACATATGTGTCCTTATCCCCACATTACCCCGCCCCCCATTCATGCCCTCACCCCCCTGTTGTCTGTGTCCATTGGTTAGGCCTATATGTTTGCATATAAGCCCTTTGGTTGATCTCTCCCCCTTACCCCCACCCTCCCCTACCTTCCCTCTGAGGTTTGATGGTCTGATCGATGCTTCTCTGTCTCTGGATCTGTTTTTGTTTATCAGTTTATGTTGTTCATTATAGTCCATAAATGAGTGAGATCATGCATTTTAAGTGAACATAATAAACCAATGAACCGTGTCATTGTTAAGTTCCATGTGGTATCTGCCACCTTAACAATCCTCTGTCACTCGGTTGTAAAGTTGGATTGCTTCTAGGTGTTCTGTAATTAATAATTCCACTTCTATGGCCATCCCTTCGAAAATAACTTTCTTTAGTCTTTTAGATCCCCCCCGCCCTTGTGTTTTATTTCCCATCCAGAATGAATACTGGTGCAAAGGGCAAGAACATTTTTGTAGCTCAGCTCATGTTACCCATGGGGTCAGCTCACTCAAAGGAACTATGAGACTTGTTTCCTAATTTCCAGGACTGTGACGGCATGAGGGGGTGGGTAGGGATTGTTTTCTCTGGGGAGATTAGGAAGGAGGATGAAGCCATCTAACAGTGGTTCAGACGACCTTTGAAGGCAGCTGTTCGACCTTGACCTCTTGCCTAATAAGTTCAATTAGTTCACATGTAGACTACAGATTTGAAAACTTCTTGGGGGTACAAGGACAGCAGAGAGAGTGTACAGCACTTACGAAGCACCCCCAGAAGGCTCTTTCAGGCCTGGGGCTTTCCCTGGATCATTCTAGAACAGGGATGGGCAAACTTTTTGACTCGAGGGCCACAATGGATTCTTAAACTGGACCGGAGGGCCGGAACAAAAGCATGGATGGAGTGTTTGTGTGAACTAATATAAATTCAAAGTAAACATCATTACATAAAAGGGTACAGTCTTTTTTTTTTTTTTAGTTTTATTCATTTCAAATGGGCCGGATCCGGCCCGCGGGCTGTAGTTTGCCCACGGCTGTTCTAGAAGCTGGGCAGAATGGAGAAGACCTTCTCGAGGGCATGTTGACCTCTCTCTCATCCAGACACCTGTTAAGGGTTGTTTGACTATGTGTGCTAAGCCCCTCTCTGTGCTTAGGCTGCAAGGCGAGGCATCGGGGGATAACAGGTCAGGTTGGTCTCTTTCCTAAGGTCCCCCAGACTTGTGGCCTCTTACTGCCGTCAGATCTGGATGCCACTCTTTCTACCTCTCAGCCATCTTCCTCAAGGCACAGGTTTGAGGGGTGGACAGAGTGGAGAATTCCCCTGAAGCCTGTGGGCACACGTTGTTCCCCACTCACAGATCACTGGGAGGCCAGGGTAGCAGGAGCCGGGCTGGCCAGGCTGGGTTCCAGTCCTGGTTGCGCCAGTTCCCAGCAGTGGGCAGTCACAGGACCTCTCATCATCAGTTCCTTATCTGTAACATGGAAATGGTAACACCTGCGCCGCGGAATCGCGTAAGATAACATAGGTCCGGCTGCTGGCACTCAGGGACCCGTTGTGGAAGGTCAAGGCCATGCTCTAGGGCAGTGGTTCTCAACCTTCCTGATGCCATGACCCTTTAATACAGTTCCTCATGTTGTGGTGACCCCCAACCATAAAATTGTTTTCGTTGCTACTTCATAACTGTCATGTTGCTACTGTTATGAATCGTAATGTAAATATCTGATATGCAGGATGTATGTTCATTGTTACAAATTGAACATAATGAAAGCATAGTGATTAATCACAAAAACAATATGTAATTATATATGTGTTTTCTGATGGTCTTAGGTGACCCCTGTGAAAGGGTCGTTCGACCCCCAAAGGGGTCGCGGCCCACAGGTTGAGAACCGCTGCTCTAGAGCCTTTGGGTGAATTAACCATAAAAAGTGGGCAGAAAACTCCTGTGTTCATTTTCTCAATCAACATGTATCAGCCTGTGTGGCTATGGTGTCGGAAACTAGGAAGAGGCCCATAAGAAAGGCTCCCTGCTCTTGACAGGGCACACGGCCCATCTCGTGGGAGCAGAGCAGGCTGCGACAGGCTGCCGGTCACTCTGGGACAGCGCCCTGCTTACGAAGGAGCAACAGGCTATGAGGCAGCGAGGAGCAGGAAGCAGGCATAGCAAGTGGGACAGCTGAGCGGCGTCTGGGAAAGGAGTTTGGAAAGTTCAGGAGAGCTGCAGGGCTGGGCGAAGAGCCTGGGAGACGAAAGAGAAGAATCAGTGGAGACTGCCTTTTACAGAACCTTGAGAATTTGGACTGTATCTCAAAGATGTGGGGATTTAGGCAGGTTTGGGGGTGCCTGTTCTGGGACAGGGGATGGTGGTGGAGGCCTGGAAGACCCCCAGCCTTCCACCTCATCTCAGGGGCTTTGATGGCACCCCAAATAAATAAAGGCAGAAAGTAGGATTCTCAGGAGAGGCTTGGTGAGGGAGCCAGGCCTGGGAGTTGGGGCCTGGGGTTCTGTGGTTCTGGTCCCAGCAACTCCACCACCAGAGTAGGTGGGCCTCCTCCCTCAGGTGAGGGTTCAGGGCAGTTAGGCATCTTACAACTCTCTCCTGGAAGTCCAAATGTTTCTGGAGGCTGTGGCACCCCTCCACTCCCCACCCCTCCACCCGCCCAGGCAATAGACCAGTGATGGGGAACCTATGACATGCGTGTCAGAGGTGACACGCGAACTCATTTTTTTGGTTGGTTTTTCTTTGTTAAATGGCATTTAAATATATAAAATACATATCAAAAATATAAGTCTTTGTTTTACTATGGTTGCAAATATCAAAAAATGTCTATAGGTGACACGGCACCAGAGTTAAGTTAGGGTTTTTCAAAATGCTGACAGGCCGAGCTCAAAAGGTTCGCCATCACTGCCATAGACATTTCTCCAGTGACGGTGGCCAATCCCGTGACGCAGCCTCGGAAGGAAGAGTCATTTCTGAAACAGACAGTCTGGCCCTTTGACCTCAAGAGACTCCATGGAGTTCTGAGAACCGTGGGGCTGCGGGCCTGTGACAATCCCAGGGGGTTCTGGGCTCCAGCTCTCCTGAGTGAGTGAGGGCCATGTCCCATACTTGGGAAGTGGTGTCCCCCGGAAGCAGGGCTACCGTCAGCCTGGGAACCTACCTCCTGAGCTTTCCGGGGCCACTGGAGAGGCCTGTCTGTGCATCCCAGCCAGGACGGGGCTCAGTACCCAGCCAGGGCTGCCTCCCCATCGCAGGGGATCGGGAGGGAGGCAAGTGGGGATGGGTGGGTCTGCAGTTAGGAACGTTTCAGTCAAGGTGATGAGTTTGAAAGACAAAGAGACCTTGGTTTTGCTTGGCAGCTCTTGGGAAGGGTCGGACCCTGCTCCAAAGCTTTCTGGGTGCCCGTTGCTGTCATAGCGGGAGGACGTTCACTTCCTGGCCCAGATTCTCCCACCAGGTCCCAGCCCCCACTCTGCCTGTGTCACCTACCTGTCTCCTCAGTCCTCCTTCCCTGGAACCACACCTTTCCTTCCCTCTTTCCCAAGAGCCAGAACTTCCGGCTTCCTTGTCTTTCTACTTTCTCAGATCATTAAGTTCTCTCCGTAAGCATTTTTTAAAAATCTACCATAATCATAGCTATTAAGCACATTCACATTGCTATGACACAGATCTCCAGAACTTTTTCGTCTTGCAAAACTGAAACTCTGTCCCCATTGGACAATGACCCCCCACTTTCTACCCCTCCTACCTACTGGGAACCACCATCCCACTATATGTTTCTATGAATTTGACTACTCAGGTATCTCAAACAAATGGAATCATATAGTATTTGTCTTTCTGTGTCTGGCTTGTTCATTTAGCATAAGGTCCTCAAAATTTATCCATGTTGTAAAAATTTTATTCCTTTTTAAGGCTAAATAATACAGGTGTGGGCAAAAGTAGGCTTACAGTTGTGAATACATGAAACACGGAGTTTATTCTTGTATTACATACTTTTTCATATGAACCACTGTAAACCTGCTTTTGCCCACCCCTGTATTTCATTGTGTATACACACCACATCTTGTTAGTCTACTTATCAGCTGATGGGCTCTTGGGTTGTTTCCATGTTTTAGCTATTGTGAATAATGCTGCTATGAACATGGTGTTCAAATATCTCTTCAAGACCATGCTTTCACCATAGCCTGTTTGGCTCAGTGGATAGAGCATTAGTCTCCAGACCAAAGGGTCCTGGGTTCAATTCCATTTAAGGGCATGTATCTCGGTTGCAGGCTCCTCTCCAGCCCAGGCCCTGGTCGGGGCTCGTGCAGGAGGCAACTAATTGATGTGTTTCTCTCACATCGATGTTTCTCTCTGCCTTTCCCTCTCTCTTCCACTCTTTCTAAAAATCAATGGGAAAATTATCCTCGAGT